GCTGTGAGTTTAGGAGCTACTTAATGAACAATTAAGCTACAAAGCAGTGGTGCTCAATCAGTTGGGAGGCAATTATCTGCTACAATATAAATAAAGATCACGTTGTTGATATGTGCCGTCAGGTCGGACCCGACTCATAGCGAGCCCTCCTTGAGTTTCCAAGGCAGTATCACTATGGAAGCAGACTGCCCCATCTTCCTTCCAAGGAGTGGCTGGTGCGTTTGAACCTCCAGCCTTCTGGTTAGCAATCAAGTGCCTTAGCCACTATGCTACCAGAGCTCCTAATAAGAAGAGCAAATAAATGGAGAGAAAGGAGGATTGCTTTAAAAAAAGTATCCAAAAACACTTACACTTTTCTTTTTAAAATGTGATTTATAAAGTTAGGAGAATATTTTACAATATCTGTTCTTTAAAATGTCTTTCCCACAATTTAACTTTTCTCACAAAAGAATTCTACTAATGATAGCATGTAATTTTATTGGTGAGTCTATAGAACAAGATGGCCTAAAGTATTTCCCTTTCCTCTAAGACTGACTTGTAGTATAGCTTGAGAAACCCAAGTAAATTCAGAAGCTTGTCATTACAATACATATTCAGAGATAACACAGAATAAAGTTCCCAAAGCTGTTACTACATTCAATAAAAGCACAAAGTTACAGAATTAACAACTGTCCACGGAAAAAAGTGGTTGCAATAGATGTAAAAACCCTGTTAATGTGAGTGCTTACAATGCAAAAGAAATTAAGTTTTTGTTTAAAATTATAGTTTTGACTCAAATATACATGATGGCTTTGGAAAATAAACCTTAGTATATGAAAATAAATCACATAAATATCTTCAAAAACCTATTTTATCAGTGTGTGCCTGTATCTATCAACATATGCTCATAATTTCTTAATCTCATAAAAGTTTTGACTCAAGAAACTGAAAAAGTTCAGAATAGAAGCACTAAAAGGTGTGTGTGTGTGTGTTTGTATGCACACACACTCTCAATAGATAATAAAAGATGAATAATTAATAATGCAAAAATCAAATTTTATCCTACAGTTTCAATATTCTTCCCCATCAAAACTTTCCCACAGCTCTGGGCAAGTAGATAAATTGACTAATTTGAATTTTACTTTCTTCCTCTGCCCAGTGAGTACCAGTGCAAATATCCATAAAATGTGCCATAGTATAAACGCCAAAGATAAAAATCTCAAAAAATTCTTGGGAGAATTAAATGAATTAATATCAGTAAGGGCCTAGCATAGCATCTGGCACACTCAATAAATAGTAATATTACTGCACCTTTCATTGGATAACATTTCATCACAATAACCTCTCAAATAAAATTCTTAACATTTTACAGAATTCACACTGAGTTGCAGTATTCCAGGATATCTGTAAAGTGTAAGAACACAGAAATAATTATAGTGGTTAATCGAACTAATTAGTATTTGTGGATATAATTATACTAATTAAAAACTAGAAGTAAAAATATTCTTAGGAAATTATATTTACTCTCTTTAAGTTCAGCTAAAAAAAAATGACATAGTACATAAAACATTCCTGTGACTCATTAATTCAACTACGTTTTATTTTAATAAAATGTTTTTCGAGTCAATGCAGAAGAGGTCCCCAGAACCCAAGATTAAAAATAACAATAATAATAAAATCTCACTTTATAGTAGAAACAACAGAACTGATACTAAATGGATATTTACCTTCCACAGAATAAGCCTAAAAGAGAATTAGTAAGATACATGATGCTGATGGTATTTCTTAAATATCCACTATAGAGACTAATGCATATTTCAAGTCCTCATCAAAGAAACTTAACTGTTATCTCAAATGATTCAGATTCAGAAATAATACAGAACAAATTTCCTAAAGCTGTTACTACATTCAAAAGAAGCACAAAGTTACAGAATGAACCACTGTCCACTGAAAAAGTGGTCGCAATGGATGTAAAACCCTGTTAATGTGAGTGTTTACAATGCAATGGAAATTAAATTTTTGTTTAAAGTTATAGTTTAAATTATCTCTAATTTAAAATTGGATAATTAGAAAATTTAAAATTATCTCTAATTTTGTCTCACCTACTTTGGTCACGCTGTCAGAAGGGACCATTCTCTGGAGAAGGGTATCATACACGAAAAAGGCGCACTCAACAAGATGGATTGACACAGTGGCTGCAACGATGGGCTCAGGCATAGCAAGGATCGTGAGGCTGGCACAGGACTAGGCAGTGTTTCGTTCTGTTGTACATAAGGTCACTATGAGTAGGAGATGACTTGCCGGCACCTAACAACAACTAATGTATGGTATTATAGTACAAGTATTTGAGAAAGAGTCAAAATGAGGAATCATTTTGCTCTGTTTCAAAGAAGAGGACATGATAGCTGGTTGACATATGTATCCAAGTCCCTTAAAGAGTATTCTCTATATAAAGAGGGGTAAGCTTCTATCATGAACTTGACGAAATATCACTTAAGACTTTCCAAGTTCCTTTTCTTTGATTCCCTAATCACCACACAATTTTCTACTTAATAACTACTAACTTGGTTTCCCAACTTCTGGATATAGGAAAGAGTTCAAAAGATTTTAACCTGAAAATTCTGATAACTGGAAAGGGTTACCTTTATCTTCTGTTCCCACATAAACTGGTATTCTAATGTATAAATAGGAGATCTGGTTGCATAGTGCCTAAGGCACTTGACTGCTAACCAGAAGGCTGGCGGTTCAAACCCACCAGCCACTCCTCGGAAGGCAGGTTGGGCATTCCTACTTCCGTAGTGATACTGCCTCGGAAACCCAAGGAGGGGTCGCTATGAGTCGGGCCGACTCGATGGCAAATAACAACAACAACAATGTATATATAAGTCTATTGTTTAGTTTGAATTGGATTCCTGACCTCTGAGCATACATGAGTAAAAGTATAAATCTGAGCTTCTTAGGCTGGAAATATGAGACCTACACACTTTTCATAGACAATTGCCACAAACATCTCTTGGTCTTCACTTCTCCCTTTCCACTCTGCCCTGAAAATGAAATTCTGTATCAAAATATGCTAACCACATCAAAGGGAGCTCTGGTGGTGTAGTGCTTAAGGCATGTGACTGCTAACCAGAAGGCTCGTGGTTCAAACTCACCAGCCACTCCTCGGAAAGAAGATTGGGCAATCTACTTCCGCAGTGATATTTGCCTCGGAAATCCAAGGAGGGGTCGCTATGAGTCGGAGACGACTCAATGGCAGTGAGATTGGTTTGTTTGGTTTAACCACACCAAATGTAGGCAGATTCATTTAAATACTAAAATGACTATTTAAAAACAAAATTACAGCCTGAAATTTAAACCAAAAAATAAGGCTGTATGTTTATGAAAGCTTCATTTACATTAATACTCTATTCCCCAAAGAAACCTATGATATTCAAATTGTGCTTTAAAGGCAACATCCAAAATATGTTTTTGAACTTGCATCAGCCAGGAACATTATTTATGAAGTGGTTTAGCATATGTGACTTAATTAAATTAAATTAATATTTAAGATACATTGTATCTGGTGCAGAGCAGGGTAAGAACACCTGAATTTACAGTTCATAAATTTCGTACTTCAAATGGTAACTCGGACTTTTCCCACTGTGTCATTCTAAAGTAATTATGTGTGATTCCTACCAAAAAAAAAAACAAAAAACAAAACTCTCTTCAACGCTCCAAAGAATTCAGCTTCACACCTGACACTCCAGCTATTCAGTGTCGTAAATGAACTAAAACAAAGAATTGTCTATCAGCCCTAAATCCATAGGGATGGATTCTCTACGGACCGTGATGCCAAGAACTTCACCCGCAACTTAAAGTGTCTTTGCAACCTTCGTCTCCAGGAGACCGAAAGGCTGAAGAGACACGTGAGGATCCTGCAGGGAGGAGATTGGAGCCGCGGAGGGAGGGGGACAGGGAAAGGGGCCAGCCCCACAGAACTGCATTACAAGGGAAGACTTTGAGAACGGATGAGGAGGCGATTAATTATAGAGAAAAATAGACTTTCTTCCATATTACGTACGTTTCAAAAAGAACTTAAAGTGACAGAAGGGGAAAAAGTGACCAGAAAACCATTAACCCTTCACGGCCGTAGGGTAAGGGGTGTACGATGCGGGGAGTGGTGCGAGGCAGAGTAAGGGCCCAACAGACTTGGATTTGAAAAACAGTACGCAAGCGGTGAGCTTGGCTTGGTCTGCATCTAATGGTAAGCGGACGGCAGGTGGAGAGGACCGTAGTAACCCTCTGTTCCAAAGAACGTGTTAACAGTAACGACTACTGCACCAAGAAGATGTCGCCTCTCCCCACTTGCGCCCCTTCATTCCTTTACCTCTTACTCTAGTTCCAGCGGCACTCCTGGCAAAATTCTGTCACAGCCTGCGCTGCAGGGGGACAATAAAAGGAACATACCTGAGTATCAGGAATCACGCGGGCGAGAGGAGGAGGAGGTGGAGCTGCGGACAACTGGATCCCGGGCAAAAGCTTCACTTGGCTCTGGTCAAACACCAACTCTTACGGGTGGGGCGGGGAATTTCCGCCCCGAGCCGGGGGGAGCGTCACTTCCGCCTAATGTCTTCACTCCTCCTCCTCTTCTGGGCCACCCCTTCGCAAAGTGTCAGACTTCCTCTTCCATGAGTCTTCTGCCCCAGTCAAAACACCTGAAGTGAACTACATGTCCCGGCATTCACCACGGTAGGTAGAGTTCCGGGTCAAGAGTTCCGCGCTGGTAAATCACCATGGAAGCGATCGGTTTGGTCACGTGGGTCCCCTGGTTACGCCCGGCGGCAGCTGCGGGGTCTAGGGCTAAACGGGGGCCATTTTGCCGAAGGCTTTCTCTTGGAGCTGCCTAGCTAGCAGGTTGGAGCTGCTTCTTTTCCTCCTCTGCAGCTTGGGATCTGGAGAAGAGCAGAAAGGCTGGGCTCCATCGAGCCCTTCAGAGATGGCAATGGTTCCCTCCAACCATCGCCCCCTGACCACTCTCCATGGCGGCTGCGCCCTCCGCGCTGTTCCTGCTGCCGCCCCTTCCAGCCCTCTGTGCCTATCGCCTACAGAGCCGCAGTCGTTCTTCGGCCCCAGGGACTGATGAAAGTCGAGTTGGGGGCACAATGAGAGGAGAGAAAAGCTACTGCTGCCGTGGAGCTGCTGGCGACCACAGTTCCTGCCCCCCGACTCCTTTGGTCTCGAACCTCTTGATGCCCGTGGAGGCAGGTTCTAGTGGCTGGTCTGGGTCTGGAGGTAGCTTGTCTGGGGGAGATGAAGAAGAGACTCGGATCCTTCAGCTCCTCCGCGCGGCGCCGGATCCTTCTGAGGCCTTCCAGGCTTTGCAAGCTGCTTTGCCGCGGCGGGGAGGTAGACTTGGCTTCCCGCGACGGAAGGAAGCGTTGTACCGGGCTTTGGGCCGAGTACTTATGGAAGGCGGTAGTGATGAGAAGCGACTCTGCTTGCAACTTCTCTCGGACGTTCTCCGGGGCCAGGGGGAGGCAGGACAGCTGGAAGAGGCCTTTAGCTTAGCACTTCTGCCTCAACTAGTTCTCTCTTTACGGGAAGAGAATGCAGCCCTGCGAAAAGATGCGCTGCAGATCCTGCACATTTGTCTGAAGCGTAGTTCTGGTCAGGTGCTGAGAACTCTTATACACCAAGGACTGGAAAGTACCGATGCCAGGCTTAGAGCTTCCACAGCTCTACTGCTTCCTATCTTGCTTACTCCTGAGGATTTGTTACTCGGCCTTGATCTCGCCGAGGTGATAATATCCCTAGCCCGCAAGCTTGGCAATCAGGAAACAGAGGAAGAAGCTGAGACTGCTTTCTCAGCTCTTCAACAAATTGGGGAGCGACTTGGCCAGGAGAGGTTTCAGTCGTATATCTCTCGCTTGCCGTCTGCTCTGAGAAGACACTACAATCGCCGCCTGGAGTCCCAGTTTGGAAGTCAGGTTCCTTATTATTTGGAACTTGAAGCCTCTGCAGTTCCTGAAGATCCCCTTCCCTGTGCAGCGACTCTTTCCAACAGCAATCTTAAATTTGGGATTATTCCTCAAGAACTGCATTCAAGATTGTTAGATCAGGAAAACTATAAAAACAGGACTCAGGCCATTGAAGAACTAAAGCAGGTGCTGGGAAAATTTAATCCTAGTTCTACGCCTCATTCTAGTCTTGTAGGTTTCATTAGCTTACTGTATAATTTGTTAGATGATTCTAACTTTAAAGTAGTCCACGGCACACTCCAGGTCTTGAATTTACTAGTTATTCGCCTTGGAGAACAGGTACAACAGTTCCTGGGACCCGTTATAGCAGCTTCTGTCAAAGTGCTGGCAGACAACAAGTTGGTGATCAAGCAAGAATACATGAAAATTTTCCTCAAGCTGATGAAGGAAGTAGGTCCTCAACAGGTGCTTTATTTACTCCTGGAACACCTCAAACATAAGCATTCCAGAGTGAGAGAGGAGGTGGTGAACATTTGCATCTGCTCGCTCCTGACCTATCCCAGTGAGGATTTTGACTTACCCAAACTGTCTTTCGATCTTGCCCCAGCTCTTGTAGATGGTAAACGCAGGGTACGGCAAGCAGCTTTAGAAGCTTTTGCTGTGTTAGCATCATCCATGGGCTCAGGTAAAACCAGTATCCTTTTCAAAGCTGTAGATACTGTTGAACTTCAAGATAATGGAGATGGAGTAATGAATGCTGTACAGGCCAGATTGGCTAGGAAAACCCTCCCAAGGTTAACAGAACAGGGATTTGTGGAATATGCAACACTCATGCCATCTTCTGCCCAGTGTAGGTCAAGCCATTTAGCACATGGAGCAGATACAGACTGGCTTTTGGCTGGCAACAGAACACAGAGTGCGCACTGTCACTGTGGTGACCATACGAGGGATAGCATGCAGATTTATGGATCATACAGTCCAACTGTCTGTACCCGAAGGGTGTTAAGTGCAGGGAAAGGAAAAAATAAATTACCATGGGAAAATGAGCAGCCTGGAGTCATGGGAGAAAACCAGACCTCCAATGCCAAGGATATAGAGCAGGTATGCATCTTCTCTATTAACTGGACACTGAAATAATTCTAAATGAAAATAAGTTTTCATATGGTCTGTAGTCACTTAATAGTGAGGTGGCCTGAGGGTTGTTTTGCTTTGTTTTTAAATCCGTTTGAATGTTGATGTGGGTATCTATTTGGTACAGGTCACAGACCAATACCATTTGTCATAGATTCCAACTCATGGTGACCCTGTATGTGTCAGAATAGAGCTGCTCTGTAGGGTTTTTAATGGTTGTGATCTTTTGGAATTAGATTGCAAGGCCTTTCTTCCAAGGTACCTTCTAGTGGATTCTAACCAACAACTACTTGGTTAGTTACCAAGTGCTTAACTGCACTTAACTGTTTGCATTATACAGAGTTTCCTTAAGGTCACATTTAATAGGCATCTTACTTGATGGATTTGAGTACATTTGATAGGCTTACTGCGTCATGGATTTCATTAAATTTGAGGCACAATGTGTTATAAACAATACCTGAATTTTAGTTTTGACCTGTCACTTTAGCCATGTTACTTTTCTCATACGTACAACAAACTGAAAATACCTAGCAGGTGCCAGATAAGGAACTACATTCTGGAAACAAAGATGAGACTGTTTATACGCAGTTTAGAGGAAAAGACCTATAATCAGGCAGCTACAAATGTGTTAAGTGCTAAAATAGAAGTATTAAAATCCTGTGGGATACTGGAGGTGTTGTTGTTGTTAGTGCTGTCGAGTCGGACCCGACTCATAGCTACCCCTCCTTGGATTTCCGAGGCAGCGTCACTACGGAAGTAGATTGCCCCATCTTCCTTCCGAGGAGTAGCTGGTGGGTTTGAACCACCAGCCTTCTGGTTAGCAGTCAAGTGCCTTAGACACTACGCTACCAGAGCTCCTGTGGGATACTGGAGATACAACAACTAAAATGTCAGCCTTCAGAGAAGGTGTGATATCTGAACTGAGATTTTTTCCCCAGAAGTTTTTTATTTTTAAAATTCCAAATCTACAGCTGAGTTAAAACAGTAGCACAATGAACAACCATATACTTCACCTATACTTATCACTTGTCAACAATTTGCCGTATTTGCTGAATCAGTTGAAAATAATTTGCAGATACCTTGACATTTCACCCCTAAATATCTCCTTTGTCACATGATACCATTGTCACACTACAAAATGTCGATAATAACTCAATATAATACATAGACTGCATTTAAATTTCTCCAGTTGTCCCAAAGATGCATTTTATAGTTGTTCTTTTATTATTAGGATACAATCAAGGTTGATAAGTTAATAGGTCTTTTTTCTGTAAAACAGTACCTCTACTTATTTGCATGCTTGCTTTTTCATGACACTGACTTTCTGAAGAGTCTGGGTGGAGGTTCTGTAGAATGCCCAATATTTTTAACTTTTCCTTATGATCAGATTCAAGATAACATTTTGGCAAGAATGTTATGTAGAGTATGTTGTGACTTTCCCTTTACATCATCTCACAAAGCATATAATATCAGGTTGTGCCACTATTAGTGATGGTAAATTAAATAGTTGGGGTTAAGTGGTGATAGCCATCTCTCTCCGTTATAAGGGTATATATTTCTTTGGTAGCATAGTGCCTAAGGCACTTGACTGCTAACCAGAAGGCTGGCAGTTCAAACCCACCAGCCACTCCTCGGAAGGAAGGTTGGGCAATCCTATTTCCATAGTGATACTGCCTCGGAAACCCAAGGAGGGGTTGCTATGAGTCGGGGCCAACTCCGCGGCAAATAACAACAACAACAACAATTAGCAAATAATCTGTAGGCTGATAAATAGAAACTTACTACCCAACAACCTTTCACCTGCTATTCTTAACATCCAATAATAATCCTTACCTCTATCATTTTTAAAAAATTTACTTTTAATGTGTTTTATTGAAATATAATTTATCTACAGTGGAATACACAAAACTAAAAAACTAAAGTGACGTGGATCAATGCTTTTTTTTTTTTTTTGCAGTGTTCCCTCTCCTGCCCTCCCACCCCTGGCAACCAACAGTTTCCCTCCATATATAAACCTTTCCTTGACCCTCCACAACAAATAACTAATGCTATATTTGTTCTTCTGTGATTGACTTATGTTACTCAGCATAATATCCTCCAAGTTCATCCATATTCTGTGGTGTTTTGCAGATTCTACATTATTCTTCAGTGCTGCATAGCATTCCATTATGTGTATGTACCATAGTTTGGTCCTCCACTCTTCCACTATAAATCTTGGAGATTAGTCCCTTGCCAGATATGTAATTATTGGCAAATGTGAATTTTGATATGTGCTTTTTTGTGGTGTCAATTTCTTTGTTCCATATAATTTTCTATGCTGAGCTTGTTTTGTTTATGAATCATGTTATCACTTCCTTCATTGCTGTTGTTTTAGTATTTGATGAATATTTATGCTGGTCCTCTTTTTTGATGTGAAGGTTTATCATTTTCCTTTGAGGTTACCCTGTGATTTATAGTTTTCTTCCCAAGTTTAGAGCAGTCCATTTTATCTTGTTGTCTTGACTTCCCTACCATCTAGAACTTCTGTAACGACACAGTTTCTTCCCTCTTTTTGGTTTGTAATTGTCCACATTTGTCAATTGATGTCTCTGGTTCCCTGTTTACAATCTTGTAGGCTTATTTACTTTAGATACTTCCATAACTGGGTTGGTTTCTGGGTTATATTATCGTGTGTGTGAATGGTCTGTTGTTGTTGGCTGTTGTTGCTTCTCTCTCCGAAGGGCTTCCTTTAGCATCTCTTGTAAGGTTGGTCTGGTTTTAACAAATTCCCTTAATTTCTGCTTATCTGGAAATGTCCTAATTTCGCAATTGTATTTGAGGGACAATTTTGCTGGATACATAAGTCTTGGTTGGAAATTTTTCTCTTTCAGGGTTTGATATATACCATCCCATTGTCTTCTTGCCTGCATGGTTTCTGTCAAGAAATTCGAGCTTAGTCTTATTGGTTGCCCCTTGTAGTTAACTTCATTTTTCCCATTCTGCTCTCATGATCCTTTCTTTGTCTTTGGTTTTGGTAAGTTTGATGATGATACGTCTTGGTGATTTTCTTTTGGGGGGTCTGTCCTGGTTGGGGTTTGTTGGACTCCCTGAATGGATATATTCTTATCTTTCATCATACCAGGAAAATTCTCTTCCAACAAATCTTTGACAATTTTCTCTATGGTTTTATTTGTCTCTTCCTGTTCAGAAGTTCTATTACACGTAGGTTATTACATTTGGTGGTTATCCCACATGAACCTTAGGCTTTCTTCGTTTTGTTTTGATCTTTTTTTCTGATTGATCCCTTTCCAAAGAAGTATTCATGTATTTGCCTTCAATCTCCCTAATTCTGTCTTCCATTGATTCGATTCTGCTCTTTGCCCAGTCATTGTCTTATCTATTTCTGAAAATTCAGTATTAATCTTCTATTTCTATGTGTAGATTTTGTATCATTCCTAATTTTTCATTTATTTTGTCATTTTGTTCTTGTATTGTCTTTGAAATTGTTCTAGGGTTTTCCTTGATCTGTCTCTCCATTCGTTGAAGATACCGAAATATAATTCTTCTGAATTCCTCATCAGGGACTTCCAATGCTACGACTTCCTCAGGGATGTGTTTTGGGTCTGTATCCTGGTCCCTTGTTTCTCCTGCTTTATCTTACTTCTTTGTGTGGACTGTGATGCTCTGTTGTCTCCAAGGCATTGTGACATTTTGTGTTTATATTTAATTGGTGATTGTATGTTGAAGTGACTTCCCCACAATTTTCATTTTGTTGTATGTTATCTATGTAAGCAGGGTACTGTGCTGTGCTCCTCTATTCACTAATTGACAGCAGTTATACCCTCACCACCTGTCTCCTTTCCTTTTGTCAGCCTCTCCTGTGTCCCTGCCAACCTTGGCAAACAGAGCCTATTCTTAGGTCCCTGGAATCCAAATGAGAATGCTATCACTTTAAATATTCAAAATTGCTGCTTGTAAAGATTCAAAATGGCTACACCCTCGGTCACTTTAAATATCTCAAATGGCTGCTGCTTATCAACATTCAAAATGGCTGTGCCCTCAGTCACTTTAAATATCCAAAATAGCTGCCATGTGTAAAGAAAATGGCTGCACCCTCCAGACAGCGGAAAGTCAACAACTCAAGTTGTCTCCCTCCTTGCTGTTTCCCTTCTGAGTCATAAGCCACCAGTGAAGTCATCCCTGAAGCCCTTGGTGACCAGGACTGATCTTTAGGTCAATTCTCAGGTCCCAACATTACTTGGAAATATTCAGGCTGTTGGTCCCGTCAGAGTAGCTGACAGTCTGCAGCTCCAACCGTCTCTGTACTCATTGTTTTTGTTCAGGTTTTTTCACTAGTTGGTGGCTTATCCATTTCTGTATAGTTCCTTTCAAAGCTCAGGGCTCCAGGATATCTTCTGTATCTCTGTCAATTGGTTTTGCTTTTCTTTGTTGAAGAGGGTCTGTGTCATTTGTCTGCCTATTCCTCCATCTTACCAGAAGTCCCCATATGTTGCTTTTGAAAGATGCTATAGTGATTAAAGGGAGCTCTGGTAGTGTAGTGCTTAAGGCACTTGACTGCTAACCAGAAGTCTGGTGGTTCAAACCCCCCAGCCACTCCTCGGAAGGAAGATGGGGCAATCTACTTCTGTAGTGATACTGCCTTGGAAACCCAAGGAGGGGTCGCTTTGAGTAGGGTCCAACTTAACGGCACATAACAACAACAACATAGTGATTAAAACTTAACCAAGAAATCCACTTAAAATTACTTGTTCATAGACAGTCTGTAGAAGAACTACATTGGAAATTATTTTAATGGAGGGTAGAGATTAAATATTTAAATATTTTTATGTGTGTGCTGGGTTTGCAATTTCCCCCCTTTTTTCTCTCCCATATTTCATTACCATTCCTGAGTGCTAAAAAGAAATAACATTGATACAGGTTAACACATAAACCTCTGAGAAAATCAGATGGGCGTCAATTAACAGATTTAT